CTTTTTAGGCTGCATTTCCTTTAAATCCCCAACGCCCTCAATCACTAAGACCTATTGCCTACACACCCTTTTTTTGTTTGTCTGTTTTTTGACAGAGTCTTGCTCTGTCGAGGCTGGAGTACACTGGCGGAATCTTGGCTTACTGCAACCTCCGCCTCCCAGGTTCAAGCAATACTCTTTACTCAGGCTCCTGAGTAGCTGGGACTACAGGTGCGCACCACACCCAGCTAATTTTTGTATTTTGTAAATAGAGACAGGGTTTCATCTTGTTGGCCAGGATGGTCTCGATCTCTTGACCTCGCGATCCGCCCGCCTTGGCCTCCCAAAGTGCTGGGATTATAGGCATGAGCCACCGCGTCCAGCCTTTTTTGAAAATTTTTTGAGACAGAGTCTTGCTCTGTCACCAGGCTGGAGTGCAGTGGCACAATCTCAGCTCACTGCAACCTCTGCCTCCTGGGTTCAAGAGATTCTTCCGCCTCAGCCTCCGGAGTAGCTGGGACCACAGGCGCATGCCACCACACCTGGCTAATTTTTGTATTTTTAGTAGAGACCGGGTTTCACCATGCTGGCCAGGATGGTCTTGATCTCTTGACCTCGTGATCCGCCCGCCTTGGCCTCCCAAAGTGCTGGGATTACAGGCGTGAGCCACCGCGCCTGGTCATGCACCCCTATTTTTATAGCTGCAGCTCTATGGGAGGATTCTCCATTTCTGCCCTCCAATTAGTGTGTATTACTGTAATTAGATCCTCACTGGACTCTGTCTGTTGTAGACCGTCAGCACCGGCTGTCATGTTAGTGTTCTTAAATGTTCATTTTTTTTCACATTACTCCTCAGCTTAATCTCCAGTGATCCCCCCAACAGTCTACCGAAGTTACTTCAGCAGATTCCTTTGCCTAGATGTGTTCATTGTGCTAACAGAAAATCTGTCACCACCTCCTATTCAGCATTACACATGCTGTTCCCCACATTCAGAATGCTGCTGTTCTTTCTTCTGTACCCCACACCTTCTATATTTCAGTGATTTTCAAGCCCTCAACACTTGGAGAGTGGGGCATGACGGGAAAAATAATGAAGGCGGAGAAGAGGTGGGCTCGGGTCTTAGAACCCTCTGCACTGGATTTCCATGTTAAGATTTTATTTGAAGGGCTGGGCACAGTGGCTCACATCAGCAATTCTAGCACTTTGGGAGGCCGAGGTGGATCCTGAGGTCAGGAGTTTGAGACCAGCCTGGCCAACATGGTGAAATTCCATCTCTACTAAAAATACAAAAATTAGGGGACCAGGCGTGGTGGCTCACGCCTGTAATCCCAGGACTTTGGGAGGCTGAGGTGGGTGAATCATGAGGTCAGGAGATCAAGACCTGCCTGGCCAACATGGTGAAACCCCATATCTACTAAAATACAAAAAATCAGCCGGGTTTGGTGGCAGGCACCTTAGCTACTCCACAGGCTGAGGCAGGGGAATTGCTTGAACCCAGGCAGCAGAGGTTGCAATGAGCTGAGATTGCGCCACTGCATTCCAGCTTGGTGACAGAGCAAGACTCAAAAAAAAAAAAAAATTAGCTGGGCATGGTGGCGGGCACCTGTAATCCCAGCTACCCGGGAAGCTGAGGCAGGAGAATTGCTTGAACTGGACCTGGGAGCAGAGGTTGCAGGGAGCTGAGCTTGTGCCACTGCACTCCAGCCTGGGCTACAGAGTGGGAAAAAAAAAAAAAAGAAAGATTTCATTGGAGGAAAGGCGTTCAAGGCAAAACAACAACAACTTGAAAAGGAATGTGCTGTTGAAGTCTCCGGTTAAGATTCATCTACCCTCATCACTCCCTTCCCCGCAAGACTGACGTTTCTCCTCGTCTTCAGTCTCTAGAGTGGTGAAACTGTACTCCCAGATGAGATGCGGTTGTTTAGCTTTTGCCTTGCCTAGAACTCTTAATCAATTTGCCTCCTTGAGTCTTGTTTTTCTACTTCTTTTGCATTCCCTAAAGTGCTTTACTATTGCATAAACTAATGAACAAATTGATGAACACATGAATGCTCTGTGGTAGTTTTAACTAGTGAGAAATTTCTGTTTACAAAATTATGGTTTTAATCTATCCTTAGCCATTTTCAGCAATGAGATAAATAGAAATAATCAATATATCATAAGTGACGTTCTGTTTGGGTTTCCCTGCCAGATGAGGGTGAATCCACACACCAGGCCAAAAAATAAGGGAAAGGGTGGATGAGAAGTGATGAGAATATTCTCTCTGAAACTCCTTATTCACTGGGATTGGCCGCCTGCCTTGTTCTCCCTCCTTCAATGCCCCCGAGGTTGCCTTTGCTAATCTGTGACATCGAGATTCAGATGTTATATCTGACATCTTTTAGGGCAGAATGGAAATCTCTTTAAGACTAAGGTCCACTTTGTTAAGTTAGAGTAATGTGAGTTTAATTGCATCACAAATATTGTTAGCACTTATTATTCAAGCTTGTTCCTGAATTATAACAGGACACTGATTTATCCCAAATTCCCAACTGGGAACAAAGAACAAAGACAAGTCCCTGCAGTGGTTTCTCCACTGAGCCCAAAAAACCACATCTGATAAGCTATGTAATTTGCTATAGCAATTTGTGCCAAAAATAAAGGCACACTTTTGCAGAGTCGCACATTTCTAAGAAAAACCCAACTCCGCCCCATGCTAATCCAGCTCCTTTCTTTCTTTTTCAAACTTGATGTTTATGGATAGAAAATACCAGGCTGCATCTTAGGTACCATACCATTGTCCCTACGCCTAATGGCTAGGCCCATTGGCCTCTAGTCACCCCGGCCTCTCTTGCTGTCACACTGAAACCTGAAGGGTGAGTGTAGGCAACAGCAGTAGTCTGCTTTACAACACCTCAATAATATGATGTCTTTATAACAGCACAGCTGATTCCTGGCTGATGGCCCTAGTTAAAGGAAGGGGGCACAGAATCTTCGAAGTCATCAATTTTAATGAGCACTGCAACTATTCCAGTAAACTAGATCCCTTTATTTTTGTTTGCTTGACAAAGAAACTAGATACATCTAAGACATTTATTTCTTTTTAGTTCAACACCAGGACAGGAACTCGCTTTTTCACCACCAGTATGAGGCCCCCAGTGGTGCTAAAAATTCCTGTGCAGTCTTTTGGAAGGGGAAGAAGAAAAGAGGCTACAAGAAAAAGAAAAACAAAAGAACAAAACCAAGCAAACACAAACTTTTGAAAAATTCAGGCTTTCTTTGGCTCAGAGGTTAAACATGAATTGTTAGAATTCCCTTTCAAAGTTGGAGTTGGCCAAGGAATCTCATAAGCTTGCATGGTTTTGTGGAAGTTACAAGAGAAGAAATTTCATCTGCATATTCAAAGGCAAGGAATACTTAGTTTTGTGTGTGTGTGTGTGTGTGTGTGTGTGCACGTGAGTCTGTATCTGTGCCTGTGTATGAGTGAGAGTGAGAGAGAGAGACGGATAGACAGATAAATACAGCCAGAAGCCAAGGAAAATTCAACTACTTTATTTACAACATAATGAATTGTAATATTTGGAGGAATATTTCTGAGCTCTATGAGAAGGACACATTAGAGGTAGTAAGTAATTTCTGTGGTTTGTAGTGAGATAAACGAAGAGGTAAGTTGCTTGAGATGCTTGTGTATCAGAGAAAACAACAACCCAGGCTTTGCTTCTAATCCTTTGTGTCTTTGTGCAAATTCAGTGAACTCTTATTCAAGAACTGAAGGCAACAGGCAGGCATTGGTTTTAACTTTTTAAGGAAACTCAAGTTCTAGAATCATTAAAATCCAAAGTCCTTGTACAAGTCACTAAATACTTTCCTTATTATAAGGAATTCATAGCACAGGGCAAAGTGTGTCATCGCTTATGAATTTTTCAATCAAAACAAATTTCTCCTTTTTTATGTTAAAAAATTCTTTTAATGGAAGAAGAGGGGGAAAATAGCCCAGAAAAAAATTACGCAAATGGCAAGGTAGTGACAAGGCATCTATCAAAGTGGCTCTGGAAATTCCAATTTTTAAAGTGCTATAAAAATATCATTATTAATGATGATTGACTGGGTTTTCAGAGCCAAGATATTTCAAGGCTGCTAAGTTAGAGTTGAGTGCAAAAGCGGGGGTGCTAAAATGGCTTCAGGGTTCCTTCACTTTGTTTCTTCATTGATTTTTAAATAACATGTGAACACAGTCAAATTGATGATTTTCATTTTGAATTAGTTTGCCCTCTGTCATGCAGAGCCTTCTATCTTTTCCTGACTGTCAGTGTCTAATTCATCTTCATCAAGTCCCCAGCAGGAAGATTCAGATCTTATTACTCTTTGTTTTACAGTTTTATCGTTTACAGGAAATTGGGACACAGAGAAAAACAGAGAGGAATCTACCAAAGCTTTAAGTAGAACTACTCCAGGGGAGAAGGCACAACTCCACTTCTGGGCCTGGATGTACAGAAACTCCTTTATTGCAGCAGCTGCCGTAGGTGAAACAAGGGACCATAATCAAATACTCCCTTGAGTTATTTTTCGTTTGTTGACTTTTTTTGCTTTTGTTTCAGATTCCCGACATATATGCAGTGTTGGTCTGTGTAAATCTCATACTTTGTATCTGAAGCCTTCATGAACCTAGAATTGCTCTCCCTTTTGCAGATGGAGAAACTAAGGCTAAAGGAAAACATGTACAGAGTAAGCGATAACCATGTTAGATTTCAGTATGATCAACTGTTACCGTGAAAATCTTGTATTTTGCTCTATTTTCAGTCACTGCCAAGGCTGGGAAGAATGACAAGTATGGTTTTTTAAAGTGTAACAAAAATGTGCTTGAAAACATCACAAAAATATTGTTTAGGTAAGGCCCAAGGCCCAGGTTAGAGGACTTCTTTAAGGACACAGAGGGAAAAAGAAAAAAATGTCAACACCGACAAAACCTATCATTTGCTGAGCAAAAATCTCCTTCCTACCCGCTGAAGCTCCTTAACTCTCCAGTTTCTGTTTCTAACAGCTAGAGCTGCTGCAGCTTCTGAAGATTCACTTTTGCAGTCCTATGGGAAGTCACCAGTTTGTCCTTTCAACAGTGTGCCAAAAGTGGAAAAACGAAGAGTTTAAGCAACTGTCAAGCAGGAAACTTTTTGTTTGTTTATTTTAAAAAAAGAAGACTTATCAACCCAGCCAAGAAATTTTGTCAAAGTTACAGGCTGTCATTCTTTATAATCGCTCTACTTTCTTTTTCTTTCTGAATCCTGCATTTTCATGGAGGATAGATAATTTTTGGCATTATCCCCATTGGCTCGACTTAGCTCTGTTCCTTGGGGTCCTGCTGACTTTATAAATTTTCGACTCCTAAATCCAATGCTGGCTCACCCAGGAAAGAAAAAAGTAAACTGAACAATAAAATTCAAGCTGTAGCTTCCGTTGTGACTCAAGAATAGAAAATGTTGTTAATGGCCAACAGCACAGAAAGTGCCATTAATCACCAATAATTTATTATTTCCCAGTGGGGTCCCCAAACACACACCATTTTGCCTAACTGCATTACTGTCCAGGATTGGAAAAGCTTTTCAAAGGTAATTATCAGATGGAATCTTCACCTAGGGTTGAGCAGTTTGAAAATTTTTCATAAAAATTAAATATATCAAAAAGGGGAATGTAACTTTTCTTTCTTTCTGTGCCCCCCTCTTGTCTCCCTTCCTTTCCTTAGCAAGTCTTCTATGCATGATTAGTTTGCTGTGATCTATGGAAAACTCTTACTTCAGGAATTTTATTTTGTTGGGTTTAGGCTGTAGGGTTTTTGTTTTGAGAAAGCCTTAAAAGCTTATGTTCTAGCCGAAACCTTTTATTCCTGAAGCTGCACAGATAAATTAGACCATTTGGGGAAGGACCTTTGCCAGGAAGTTTGCTAGTATATCCCAAAACATTAAGTATGATTTGGGTGTTCACACAATAGGTTGATAGGATATTGTCTTTTTTCCTCTGCTGTTCTTAATGCGGTATATAAGTGGTTGAAAGAACAGTATAAATTCATTTATTGATAATTCTAGGAATGGATAGAGTCCTTGATTTGGAGAGCCCAAGTAAGTACCTATCATAACAAATTCCTAATATCGTATGGAAGAGAGCTTCATTCTCCTTCATGTACAAAAGCTACTTCAAAAGCTCGTGTTGAAGACCATGTGTGGTTGCTCACGCCTATAATCCCAGCACTTTGGGAGGCCGCGGTGGGTGGATTGCTTGAGGTCAGAAGTTCAAAACCAGCCGGGCCAATGTAGCAAAACCCTGTCTCTACCAATAATGCAAAAATTAGCTGGCTATGGTGGTGCATGCCTGTAATCTTTGCTACTTGGGAGGCTGAGGCAGGAGCAGGAGAATTGCTTGAACCTGGGAGGCAGAGGAGGCTGCAGTGAGCTGAGATTGTGCTATTGAACTCCAGTCTAGGCGACAGAGGAAGACTCCGTCTCAAATAAATAAGTGAATAAATAAATAAATAATTTTAAAAGTTTGTGTTGAGTAAGAAGAGCCCCAAATGCATTCTCTGGTGGGCATGCCCACTGGGCTAGCTGCACTGGAGTTTAACTAAAATATTTGGGTTCTAAATAAGAATTTAAATAATTACTCATTTTCTGTGTTGGAGTAACAACTTTAATGGTGCAAAACATTGTAATTTCATATGCTGCATTCAAGTAGGGAATTAATGGGAAGAGAACTGCATTTATTTCGAGCCACCTGTGTGCCGGGCTCCCAGTATATTCTCCTCACCACCCTGTATGGGGGGGTATCAGTATCTCCATCTCACAGATGAAGAAATAAAGGCCTGGAGGGGTTAGGTGACCTAACCAATGTCAAAAATGTAACAGCTGGCAGCTCTAGGAAGGTCTGTGTTACTTCAAATCCATAATAACCTGTTGCCTCCAAAGGGTGAAAAGGCTAATTTGATATCCACCATTACTGCCTATGTAGACAGGCAAATTTCACAGAGAATACTATCCCTTCCAATGGTCTGTCAACAAGAGGTGGGGAAGGCCATTGCCTTTCATTGCCTTTGGAGAACGTGTCTCTTCAGGAATTTCCAGGATGAGCAGAGTTTCTCCTCCTCCTCCTCCTCCTCCTCCTCATTGTGTTGTCTAACAGAAATGGGCAGCTTGGAGGGGCACTGGGAATTTTTGCCAATGGTGAACTATTTGAGGTGAGGGAGGGTGAAGCATGTACTGGTACGGTAGTATCAGGAATAGTAACATAATCCTGAATTAGCCTGAGCTTTCCTATGATCTTCAGTTTGTGGTCTTTCCTATAGGGCTTTGAGAGTTAGATGATCTCAACCCCACGGTCAGAACAGGTTCATGGTTGGATGGGAGTGGTTCCAACTCCATCTATAATTGTGAAACATGTAGGCTCATTTTCTGGGATACGTGCTTCTCCAGTTGTCAACACCTTGATTGTTGAATGACTAAAATTACTTTCATATTAAAGACTTAATTCTATAAGGATCATTTTCAGGAGAATGAGACGTACTGTGAGTCATCTCTGAGAATTTAGGGGGTAGCAGAGCCAATAACTTGACCTGAATAGGGCTAGATTATTAACTAGTCAAAGAGAGGTCAGCCTTTCCTACTGCAGATTCATCCAATTTGAAACATGAATATGGTGAAGTTAGCCAAAGAGGGTACCCTGAGGCAAAGAGGATCATACAAGTTTGAAGACAATTAGAAGAACAGGATTCCAGAAAGATATGCTTCAAGTAGGGCTTTGTGGGAGTGCAAACCTGTGCAGTCACATAGACTCCTGTATCTTGTTTAATGCTGTAATCTTGCTGTCTAGAAAATTTTCTTTCTTTCTTTCTTTCTTTCTTTCTTTTCTGAGATGGAGTCTTGCTCTGTTGCCCAGGCTGGAGTGCAGTGGCGTGATCTCAGCTCACTGCAACCTCTGCCGCCTGGGTTCAAGCAATTCTCCTGCCTTAGCCTCCTAAGTAGCTGCGATTACAGGCACCCACTACCACGCCCAGCTAATTTTTGTATTTTTAGTAGAGATGAGGTTTCACCATGTCAGCCAGGCTGGTCTTGAACTCTCTACCTCAGAATGATTCCCTCTCCTCAGATCCCTAAAGTGCTGGGATTACAGGTGTGAGCCACCTCACCTGACCACTATCTGGAAATTTTTAACACTCTTTGAGTAAGAGGCTATCATGTTTTCATTCTGCACTGGGCCTGCAAATTAAGTAGCTGGTCTTAGCTGCTAGTAAAATGATGAGAACCACCAGTGATAAGATCAGTGCAGTTGCACCCAGACGATGCCTCAGAACAATGGGTGAAAAAACAAGCATTGGCTGTAAGTAGAACTCGCCTCACCTGGTTGGTGAGTTTGCTGCCAGCACTGCATGGGGCAGATTTCACAGAATGGGGAATTGCAGGTCAGGGAAGAACAGGTATACCAGGGAAGAGTCTTCAGGGAGCAAGTTAGTAAGGCCCTTTTCCCTCTGGGGTAAGAAACTAGACACAAAGAACTCCCAGGGTCAGAAGACTGGCTAGGCTTAGGAAGAATGAGGACATACCTGCAAATTCAGAGCAGAATATCCTTAAGTGCAGAAAATAAATCTTTAGTTATTTATCGTCTTTTTCCCCAAATAGGGGTCCCATAGGAATGCCAGATTGGCCAAGCTGGAAAACCCCACACCAGGGACAAATATTATAGACTAATATCTTGTAGAAGATACTAAAAATTGATAAGTCTTCACCCTGAGTATATTAGATCAAAAAGGAGTCAGTAATTACCTGCCAAAGAACATAACTAGGATAACTCTTCAATTACTTATTTTTGGGGGGTAACTTTTTAATATTTAATATTGGGGTAACTTTAATATTTAATATGGGGGTAACTTTTTAATATTTAATATTTGTCATGATCTCCATCTAGTTTTCCATACTATCTTAAATAGAAGAACCTGTGTGCTTATTCTGGGGTAGAACAAGAAAGGGAGGAGATGGGAGAATCATATTCTACTTTGCAGTCTACCCTGGGGAGAGCCTGCCTTGGAGAGAAACAAGTCATGGGACATAGAGTAGGAGGGGACAGCTTTTTTTTTTTTTAAAGAGGTTAAATACCCAGGGTGTATCAGGAGGAAGAAAAGACTTATCAAACTCCCCTATCCCCACTACTCTGTGACCTTTGTGACACAGCTGGGGATGAGCAAGAGGAAATTAGGGGGTATGGAGCAGCCCTTCCCTTGAGCAGTGATTTCAGACATACTCAAGAGAAGGCATTATCCTAGTCTCCAAGAGATTCGAAGAGATTCCTCAGCATTTAAATGATGGCACTCTGTTGTCTCAATCAACTAAAAACACACTTCCTAAGGATTTGTAGCTCTCTGCTGGCTGGGTGAAGAGGCCTGTCTACAGACCTCCTGTGGTCATCAGTCTGTGCTGTCCTCTTGGAGATGTGAGGATGTGCCTTGGGATAGCACAGAGAACCTGCCAAGACTTATCAAACTCCCATATCCCCACTACTCTGATGGTTCACGAGGGAACAAACGCTACAGTCATAGGATTTGCAGTGAACTAGGTAGAAGCGTGAAAAAGCTGGGGGATGGGTGGGATTTTTTTTTTTTTTGCTTCCAGTTTGTGGTCATGATTGGAACAGAAAGGAGAAAGGAGGGTAATAGCTGGTTACATAGAAGACATCTAAAGGAAATAATTTGTCTTCTGGATCCTGACAGCAATGTCAGGAAGATGGACTACTGAAGATGGAAAAGGGCAACAGATCAAACTGGAGAGCATATTTAACAGGGATAAATGGATGAAGGGGAGGGAAAAAAATCAAGACCAACTATCAGCCAGGTAACAAGGACAGTGAGCACGACAGAGAAAGAATCTGTACAGTGGAGGTGGTCCCCGGTAAATTATGATTCTTTCCTTCATTCAACAAATAACAGAGTTCACTTGGAGTAATCCTTATGTCCTTAGGAAACTATCTTATGTTAACAGAATGGAGGTGACAAAATGAGCTCAAAGTTTTAAAGCAAAAAGCAAATATAATGTTATTGAGAGCACCAAGACTGAATGGGATAAAACTCAGCCTAAAAAAATATTAACAGAGGCTGGGCATGGTGGCTCACACCTGTAATCTCAGCCCTTTGGAAGGCTGAGGTGGGAGGATCACTTGAGGTCAGGAGTTAGAGACCAGCCTGGCCAACATGGCGAAACAAACCCCCGACTCTACAAAAAAACTGCAAAAATTAGCCAGGCATAGTGCCGTGCACCTGTAATCCCAGCTACACAAGAGGCTGAGGCAGGAGAATCGTTTGAACTCAGGATGCGAAGGTTGCAGTGAGCTGAGATTGTGCCTCTGCACTCCAGCCTGGGCATCAGAGCAAGACCCTGTCTCCAAAAAAAAAAAAAAAAAAGTAAAAGAAAGACATACTTTATTAAAAAATTTACCCTATAGGAGAAACAACAGATTAGTGTCAT